AAAATATCTACAGGAAAATTTGGATGGTTTGTGAATAGATTATTATTAATATAAAAGATGTCATGAATTCATAAAACACTGAAGACAAAATTTAAGAGGACTGTCACAAAGAACTCTAAATAGAAATATGAATGAGAAAAATCAGTACAAGAAATCTGCATTAATTCTCCCTCTGATAGTTCAAATTTTGAAGTGAAAACTCTGTCTAAACTGTGTTACACATGTTAATCAAGAACTCCTCTAAATGGATCAATATGACTTTGCTTTTATAGTAATACATTTTCAGGTGTCACCTTACCTATGGACTATCCTTTTTACTCTTATCTCATAAAATACGGCTGGGCTACAGGTTTAGCAGATTGAGATATTTGTAGGGCTCTAGGCACTACTACATTGGAAAACTTACTATTTTTTTGGCCACTTTAAAAATAAAGCAGAATTCCTCAAAATGTAGCAGAAATTATTATTTATTTTACCTTCTGTTAGTCGCATGGGTCTGACAGACCCGACGCGATTTTTAGTCAAAATTTTTTACTATTAAATATTTTTTGAAAAATTTGAAAAAAATTAATATTCCTCAAACTTTTTAATTAGATTAACATGCTGTTAAAATTTTTTGCATAGCAACGCTCATTTTTTAGAAAAAAAATGCTTTACGAGTCGCATGGGTATGACAGACCCATGCGACTCACGGAGGGGGTAAAAAAACGTCAATTAATTTGTCGCCGTTGCCGATAGCGAGTGTCGCAATAACTTTATCGCGCTGAAGTTGTCGCGCGGTGTCTATTATACTTTATAATATCGTTATTTATTTATATATTTATATTTTTGTTTTTTTTTTTTTAATAATATTGTTTTCAAAATTAATGTCTAATTAACTTTTAATCATTTTAATTATTATTCTATTTTTATCATATAATTTTTATATATTACTTATGATGATTCTTCGTATATTAGACGATGCAAGTTGGCATTTTTTTACATTTACTAACCAATGGGAAACTTGTGAAAACAGTCTAGCTATAAATTGCCGGGAAATATCTCCCCCCTTTCGGCAATGATCTTGGAAATCAAATGTAAACAATCGCTATAAATTCGCTTGTTTTATTCGCGTTTTGAGCTATAAATTGTTAATTAAATATTGTTTCACAATGTATATACGAGTAAGCATGTTCTCAAAACTGTCTAGCAATAAATATTCCCGGGAAACTCCAACTCTCTATAGTAAGTCTATGGAAGATGTTATTGCTGTTAATTGGCTTTAAAATTTTTGTTTCTACGCCTATTACACTCTAATTGGTAATTTATATTATGACTGATTTAAGTTCAACGAATGAGAGGTTTCTTCAGAACCATCTGGTCTGGATTTTCCCGCGAAGAACCAATCAACGTGATTAAAGTCAGAATGTAAGCAAACCTTACAAATAGCTATCTTCTTCATTTTAGAGCCGTAATTCTGGTAATTTTACTCCTGAATGTTCCTGACAAAACAAACATTTGTTTAAATAACGTCAATTAAAATGAAAAGTAGCGAAATTAGAGCTGAAAACGATGAAAATGGCGATTAACTAACTTTTATTTACATTCTGACATTGATTTAAGTGAAAGGCTAATTCTTATCGCAGTCAATTTCCCACAAGACAATTCTGAGAAGATGCTTACTCGATCAAACGAAATAAAAGAACTACATGTTAGCTAATTAGCCCCTAAACATTATGAGAGCTAATTAGATATAAAGTGAAAAATTACAACTATGCGACAATCATATCGCATAGCTATCATTATTGTAAAATCAAATAATCTAAATTAATCTGATAAAAATACTTTAAATTGTTATCTGCAATTATTATCTATTTATTTTCCATCGCTAAACAACAAAACAAAACTAAAACAAGAACGTAAACTACATTTTAAGTAATTATAAATGAAATCGCTGCGTTTAATCGCGTTACGACTTTGTTGTCGCGCAATACGCAACGCGCGACAGAAAAAAACAAAAATAAATTATGACAATACAAATTGTGAAAATTACAAAATTTTTGATAATTGCATTTTTATAACATTCAGGTATTGACATGGATGTATTTTTTAAGTATTATTTTGTAAAAATTTTATATTATGAAGAAAACAAATTTCAGAATTGAGAGCATGTCGTAAATTGCCGAATTTTTGATGGTCCACCCATTATTTTTTCGATCGCTTCTTTTCATGCACAGAAAACATTTATAACTAAACTATAAGCAAATAATTTTGATGGATTCTATAATATTTTGAACGATGTCAATTTTTGAAAATAGGTGATCGAGTTAAGCCTAACACACGACTATATCAGATAAAAAATTAAAAATAAAATTTATGTCTAAAAATCATACGAAACTATCTATTAAATCATAAAGACAACATTCTTATGAGTAAAATGAAGTAAAATCTTTGTCAATTAGTCGATTTACAACTCAGAAAAGAAGTGTTGAAAATAGAGTCATAAAACAATTAACGTTTATTGACTTTCGCGGTAGGGGGTAACGCGGGGTCGGTTGACAAATTTTCTCGCAGTAGTGCAAAAGTTCTACTCACTTCGCTTGAAAGTGTCATATTTCTTCCCCACTTACAAACAAACCCGATGGCAATCGGTGAAACAGGAGATAAATTACAGCGAGTTGAAATTTGATATGTTTATTTTTTTGCGTTTTTCGTATCGAATTACATAAAAATAAATATTAATAAATTCATTTTGTCAATACGCAAGTAATTTATATCACTAGATAGAAAACAAAGCGCAGAATCCAACTAAGAAACTGTAGTTTCTTTACGCGATAGATAAAATTGAATTATTTCATATTAAAAACACTGGGTCTGTAAGACCCATGCGACTCAAGTAAGGGCCCCATTCCTAGCGACTTACGGAGGGTTATAAATCGCAATTTAGCGTAATAACCAACACTTGGTACAACATTCATTATGTTGTACCAAGTGTTGGTTATTACACTAAATTGCAATTTAAAAAATAAATATAAAGATACAACATGGTTTCAAAATATGGAACGTATTATTTTTATAAAACCCATCTGGCAATCTGTGAGGATCTCTCTGGACACATTTCGCTTACCTGCAGTTTATACATATTATTAATTAACAAAATTAGCATTCTGTATATGTCCGTTTGCTCAAAAATTATATCAGTTACATGTAATTGGCATATTGTACAGAAAATGTAAATCTCAGATAATTCAAAACCCAATAATTCAACAGTGATTATTTCCTCCCTTGAATTTTGAACTAATGAGGATTTCCTGTATTTTCCAATAGAAATTAAACACTAAACATTATTTAGTGTTTTCATTATTGTAGTTTTATTTAAACTTTATTTCACAGTAGGCAGAGAAGAGAGACCATGATAAATTAACATTTCAGCCAGATGAACATATCTTTAGCATTGTCAGACAGCTTAAAAGTTAAGTTTTAGATTTAGCAAAAAATCTGCTAAATTGGCTTGCTTATCCAGCTGTATTAAGGCTGTTTGATCAGGGATTTGTGGAACTTAGGTTGGTTGGCACCTGCTTTGACTAGTTCAACTTGAGAACAATGTTGAAATACAAAAAATTTTGTTTGACTTTAGGAGAAAAATATATATTATACAGGTTGTTTGCCAGGATTAATAATTTAGTTTAACTTAGAGAGATTAGAAAAAGAGGATTCAAGGTTAGAGATTTTACTCACAAGTGATAGAAAGGCAGACTCAAACTTAGTCAAGATAGTTTATATTGCAAGAACTAATAATGTCCCACACACATGTATGTGTTAATTTGTCACTGAATTTATAGTTAGACAAATTTATATTTTGTTTTCAAAGATAAATTATCACATGTTCATTGCTCCTGATATATTATTACTTTGTAACAAAATATTTTATATAATGTTTTGATATAACCTTTAAATTGCACATAATCATGAAATAAGTTTTTAGTACTTGGTGGTCATGGATTTAACATCTGTGAATATTGTAAAATTTACATAATTTATTTTGAAATAATAATTACAAAATCTATATATGTTTTATTAGAATATTTTAGCAAATTAATCTTAAACATACACTGATCTGTTTAAAAATTTTACTTTTTATAAAGCTATTAATGAAAAGTTTGAAGTATAAGAATTACGAAAGTGGACTTTAAAATTTTAAATATTTACAAATCAGTCTGAATTTTCATAAGTTTTCTTAGTAACAAACTTATTTTTATAATAAAAATTTTTAAACTATGACAAAGAAAAAGTTCATAAGCAGAAAATTATTCTAATTTTAACGAATTTTTAATAATTGTAAAAAAACTTATAAAAGTTTTAATTCATTACCTTTATATATATACGTTATTTAAAATCGTGCTTTTTCTTTAAGCTTCTATCAATTTGGAAAGTTATATTCAAGTAAATAGTTTCGTAAGACCTAGAAAACTCAAAAATTATACTTATTGCTCTTTATATCAATATATAAAATGGTAAATAATAAAATATGTTGCAATTTTTTAGATTTTTTGACAAACACTTGAAAATTAAAATATAAATAACTGACTGTAATATGTATTCATATATATATTAATTGCTTAAAAACAAAAATTATATTTGGGTAAAAAAATAAAATCTTTATTTTTATTACAACTTGATGATGAATTAAAACATGACAAACTTTCTTGATTTTTTCCCCTACTTTCTGGCATTCTTTCTAAAATAAACACATTTATTCAATTTAAATCTTAAATTACTATAAAACTTTAAAATAAATTAAAGCATTTTAAAAAAATTAATAAAATCAAATTTTAGATTTTAAAAAAATGCATTCATTTCACACATTTAATTCAATTGTTTAGGAGAAAATTATTTTAACATGTATTACTTCAGTTAATAATTACCTTTGAAAGTATTAAGAGATTTATATATAAATTTTTTACTGTTTAATTTAGAAATATTAAATTACTGCATTTATGTTATAAATAAAAAGCAAGTCATAGAACTGGGAACAAACTTTATTGCCATGAACAGAATGTTTTAAGTACATTCATGAAGTAATGCTTTAACAATATACTGTTTGACATTTTTTGTTCGGAAGCATTTTCAAAGCCTGCCACATTTATGATTTATACAACAAAGATGAGGATGTCTTGAAATTTTAATGTTTTTTTTACACGTTTGTATTATGGACGGCAATTCGAGTTCTCTTTACATGAACAAACGATTATACATACATTGCAACTTTTTTGTGGCAGGCATTAAGTACAAAACATCACAACAGCAAAACTCTAATATGTTAGAGTCTCTGGGCACAACCAATAAGACAAAGAACAACATGGCATTTTTGCCTTGTCCATGGCTGATAAAATACCATGTCTTCTCTCTACATCTCTAAATCAGATCTATTTGTTGGCAAAAGTAAGTGCCAAATTATCCTAAAAGCCAGCATTTCTAACAATCGTCGATATATATATATTTATATATAACACAAACAACATGTTCATGTAACAACATTATTATAGTCACTGTAATAGTTTATGTAGACACACTGAAAAATAGAGTATTCAATTTCATTTTTGACAGAGGTTTAATAATGAAATGAAGCTGGAATGGATATTGACTTACAGTCTAAATATTAATGGAAATTTGGCACTAAAATTTAACCAGGGCACATTGTTAAGTGTGACCAAGCCACTGGTTTTTATCTTAACTAAAAACATGGCACACATCTGCTGTTCAGATAGTGCTAAATTTGTCAGAAAGGCTGGCTTAGAAAAAAACAGAATTTCCATAACCAAAAGATAGAGTCCAACAAAGAGACTGTCGGAATTTGACATAAAAATAATAATATAATAATAATAATAATATAATAATAATAATAATAATAATATAATAATAATAATAAGTACAACAAACATTCTAACACTGAGATTCAATAACTGAGAGACATCTAAAAACTGTAATCACTTTGCACCCTGTAGAACGTGAAGGGCATACAACAACAATAATTGGACAAGCAATATTGAGGTTTTACAACTGCAGTTACAAGCCAAATTTTGCATTTTCAAATTTAAGTATTTATTCAATTATGACCACACTTGCACTGCAGCAAAATAAGAATTGTAAATGATTCTTTACTGATTCAAAAGCTACAATCAGTATTATTTGAAATCAATTTAAAATTACATTAAGTACCAAGAGCTGCCCTGACAGAAATACCATCACACCACATTACATGCTTAGTTCTAACCCATAAACATATACAAGATTGCAAAAATCACTTGAGAATTTAAATTACTTTAACTATTGATAGATTTATCAAATACATTTCATTTTGGCATGATGGAATGTTCCAAACAAAAAAAAACAAATGTAACATTTAATTGTTAAAACGGCAGCTGCCTTATTGCACCAGCATAGATAAATGTTAGTTAAGAATTCTACCCACTTCCAAGTAACAATAATTGGTTAGATTAGAACATCTGTTATTTCTATTATCAAGTAGGGAAAAAGTTAAATTATACCCTAAAAAACCACAGAGAAAATGATGACATTACCACAGTTTTTCAGCTGGTAAAGCACACCACTATTCATTTGACCACCTTCTAGTTAGTTGTTTATCTTGGCAACGAAGGGTAGAGAGCACTAACGGCTGCTTTGCGTGGCCAGCTTGGTGTAGCTAAGACACACGAGCATCAGTAGGAATCACAGCGGGTGGGTTAGTAGCCTCAGCTGTCATGTTGGTGTTGGTGGTATGATGAAGGCTGGGGTTAAATATGAACAAGAGAAAAAAAGAACTTGTTAGTTTAGTCTGAAACAGAAGCTAGGATTTCAGTTTGTTATTAAAAATGATTAGGTAATATAAGTTAACAAGATTTTAATTATTTTTTTTCTAATAATCCCGAAGAATGCATAAATGCAAAATAAATCACAGCTGTTTTAAAATTAAATACATATATATATATTTATATATTTACCTAAAATTGGTAAATATTTTGGTCAAATTTTTTCTAGAAAGCATTAGATATCAGTAGCATAGAAAGACACTGACAGAAAAAGCATCCTTTGTAAATTACAGGGCTTTAACTATTATACCTGCCTATGATATTTTATTGAAAAGCTTCTGAATTAGTCAACACAACCAACTTTTTTTCCAGCAATTAGCAAATTTTATATTATAAATATCTGGTTGCGTTGCATTTTGCAACTTGAAACTTCTTTGGACTTAACCTGTAGCCTTAAGAGTACAACATTTCAATATTTACAAACTATTATACATTTTCTCAAAAGGCTACTACATATAGATACATTACATTATTATAATCATTATACATATATATATTATATATGTTTATATAATATATATTTATATATATATATATATGGAGAAAGATGATATATTGAGCAACACTTTTTGGCAACTGTTGAGCATGAGAATTTTCTATTTTAAAATTTATAAACCAATGATAGGAAAATTTAGTTTGCAAAACTGAATTATAAGCATTATTACTACTATGAACACTGTTTCAGATGTAAAATGATATTAAAACTATGTATGAAAAAAAGATATAATATCAGTAATAATAAAGTTTCTGTATATTTGGCAAGTTTTTAAACCTGTAAATGGCACATAGTATTGTAAGGCAGGCTGACCCTTTCCCATTGTATTGCGAAGTATAGAAGATAACCAATATCAAAAATAAAATCAGGCTATTTCATTATTGCAAAATAATTTGAAAATTTGATAAAAACACAATCTATAGTGTAATAGTCAGTCCTTGGCAATTTTTTCCTACATTATTTTAATAGAAAATATAATATGATATACACAAAAGATATATATATATATATATCTAATCTTATCTCAAATTAACTCAAGCAAAGACAATTAAGGAAAAAAAAGTGTGTGTAGTGACTACTCAAACAATTATGCAACATGCAACCAACCTTGGTCTACATTATGACAGAGATCCAGCTCTCTGGTAGGGATGTTCTCGTAAATTCAAATGTCTTCTCTGCTTTAGTACAGCACCTAAATATATACAGGAAGGATAGAAAAATTGAATGCAAAACATATTTTTATGCTGATCAAATGACTCGTAAACTAGTCACTTCAATCTTCTTGTTAAAAAAAATTTTTTTGTTTTTGAATTACTTTTATTCCTACCAATAAAAATAAGAAGTTTACTCATGATCATATTAATTCCTATAATATAGACCTAAAAGTATAATCATAAAAGCAATTTTATCAAAATTCTTATTTATTAAATATGGATGCACTGCATGCAATTTATTTTCTTTTGATAGAAGTTTATATTAAGGATTTTTTAAAGCATAATATATTAATTTATTATTAACAAATGGTCCCAAATTAATTGGGATTAGTTATTATTGAAAATTTTGCAAATCATTAAATAATTTTAATATGGCACTCACAAATTACATTATTATTATTCACAGCATAAAGAGAAATAATTCTCCAAGAAATTAATTGCTAAGGACTGACCTGGTCATTCCCACCTGGTCCACTAACGAAGACACTATGGAATGAATTCATCAGAAAATAATACAAAGCAACAGTAACTTCAATGACTTAAAACAATGCTAAGAAAATGAAGCCATAGCATTAAGCTGTCTCTCACAGCTTCTCTAATGCACCATGAAATATAAGCAAAAAATGAAAAAAATATCAAAACACAACAAAGTTCATGACTGTTCAATAGGGCCAGCCACCCAAGTCACAAACTGCAGAATATTCTGCAAAATTTCCGGGACACATTTTCACACGTTGGCCCCATTTCCCGTTTTTCCATAATGAAATTTCTTAAATATGCACATAATATAATATATATAATCAAAACATTTACACCTCAAATATATTCTATATCGAAATGTCACAATGCTTATGAGGGAATATACCTTGTGACTTACAAATTTAGAAGTCACTCTTAAATAACTTCAAAACTTAATGCTAAAAACAAAACAAAAAACATACCTCTGTAATAGAAATAATGAATGCCCTTTCTCAAAAGATTATAAATAAATGATGTCCACCCACAATTTTTTTCTTCTAATCTCTGCAGTTTCCAGGAGTGGATTTGACCAGGCAAGTTTTTGTTGCAGAACAGTAAAAAAATAAAATACATAATAAAAATGGCATGAGGTAATCTAATGTCAGAAAAATTATCTGCAACTTTGTACTGCAGAATATAGAACATACATCCCTGAGATAATACAAGACATGCAAGCAATTACACAGATTTCAGACATGCATTGTATATTGTAATTTTAAAATCAAGACTATTTAACAAAAAGAAAAATAAACTGGTATTCTTTTCAATAAGAAAATTTCAGAGAATATAAATTATTAAATCGCACGATTGCCGATTCTAAAGAGATTGGTCGCACCAAGAGATGGCATAAAGCTTTATATTTTGGAAAACAATGCATGTTTGTATATTCTTTATGACACATACACAAAAATCTAACAGCAACAAATGGACATCCTTGTGGGGAGTCAATTTATGTATCACAGTCCTTTATAAATATATGGGCAATGACATATTGCAACAATGACAATGAATATATAAATTTTTACTGTGATATTTACTAAATGTTTTAATGCAATTTATCAAGCAGATCTGATAATTCTAAACTTGGTCTCAAAGAAAAAAGTATATATGTATATATATTTATATATAATTCTCATAACTCTACCGTCCAAATAACCCACCAGTTGCAGTATGTTCAGTTGGATATTCAGCCAATAATGGGGATGCTAAGGCAGCATATTGATGATAATCTGCATATGTTGTGTAAAGTAGCCCAGCCTCAGTGGGTGTGATAAGAGGTGGTGGTGCACTTCCATTTAATAAAGCTGCTGTCGTTGGCACTGGTATACGAGGAGATAATATTAGCGGTGCTCCTAAAGGAGTGGCTTGTGCACGAAGAGGACTTGAAATAGCCATTGGTGGTGCAATAAGACGAGGTGGTTCTGCCTCTAAAAATTAATAAGGCAGTCAATTTGTAATTAAAATGCTTTTATAATTTTATAATAGAAAAAAATTAATGTAAAATATTTTTAAGCATAAACATGATAATATATTATGTATGTTTAAATTAAATAATTTAAATATTTAAAAATTATCAATTTAGAATTTATATACTAAAAATTCTAAAAATATTAAAAAACCACACTAAAAATTACAAATTAGAATCTTGGACTATACTCTAATGAAAAATAATATCAAAATTGGATTATTATAAACTTAAATAAATGGATAACTGACAACTTTTAAGTTTGTAAACTTTACCGATTAATAAAGATCATGAAGATCATTCACAAATCTCATTACTGAAATAACTATCAAAATAATTGAAAGTTTTTTAGAGTTTAAACAGCTATTAGAATGAAATACAAATATATGAAATGTTCAAAAAATAAATAAATATTTTGCATTAATCATTACTTATGAAAGATGATATTATCTTAGCTATAATTGCAAAATTATTGAAACAATCCAACATCTGATAGATGCTGGTTAATTATTAATTACTGAAATTCCCTATATGAAAAATTATTTAACTTTTTTATTATAAAAATATTTGTAAAATAAAAAAGTTAAATTTACACAAATGCTTGTAAGTATAAAATATTTTCTTATAACTTTTATATATTGTTATAATGGATACTGAATCATAAAATTGCAATGTCAAAAACTTTTTATAACAGATTACATTACATTAGAATTTAGTTTTATGAAAACATTTCATCTTATAAATATTTAAAAAAAATTAAAATATTCCTGAAGCTTTCAGTGAACAATAAATTACATTTTGTAGCTTCAATTTTTCCAATTATGAGCAGCTCAAAAAACAGTTGTCAAATGTGTGAATAGAAAATTATATGCATACTTGAATTACTCTTAAAAAAATTACAGGTGTCCAGATCGTATTAGAATATGAATCATTCAGTCAAGCAGATTGAGTTGTCAATTTACAAGATTTATTTTAATTAGAATTAAAACCTGAAACATCCTAGAAAAATGTTACTTAGCAGATATTAAGTCTGCAAGAAAAAATCAGTTATTTAGTATATAAATTTCTTTGTGAACTGCTTAATAAAGTTTCATAATTTAAAAGTTTTTTAAACATGTAAATTTTTGCAAAACTTTCAAATACCATCAAGAAAAATTTTAATACTTTAATTGGTAATACTTACCAAGAGTCTAAAACTAATATTTTGAAACTATCAGGTGTTTCTTAGAATACAAAAAAATAAAAAAGATATCCATCTTACTATTGGTCTGCCTGTGGAACTTTTAAACATTAATTTACATAAAAACAGAAACCTATAAGAAAAGATTAATATCACCAACAAATTTCCACTGATTATTCAATGCATTTTATTACTGCTTTGTTTTTCCTAATTTTTTTTTTTTAAATCTATTTTTGTATTTTTGTGTCAACTAGAAAAACAATTTTAAATGCAAAATGAAAAACATAGTAAAAAAATTGAAATATGAAGATATAGGTATTAAGATTAATCAATTATATAATAATATACTATCAACTGCACATTGGGTTGTATATAATACAATAAATCTGACTTACGGAACCTGTAACCGATGAATATCACTTTTTCTTTCAAAAATCAAACGTTTTCATAACCCCTTCTGGGTTCTTCATCAGGATAACAGCTGGATCGAATAGTGATTTTCAAGAAGTTTGAATGAATCCAAACTTGAATCGTTCCATTCGCTTAATCCGTCACGTGATACGATTGAAACTGTTCTATTTCGACAGTCGATGTTCAAATTTAAGAGAACGATCCAAAACATGTTATTGAGATATAAAGATTATTTAATATTCTCGTGTTCCCTAATATCGTTTATTTTTAAGGCTTAATATAATTTCCTTATCACTCTTTATGGAGTAGGTTTTGCCACGCCATGGAAAGGCTGATCTCTTCTCTTGAATTAATACACTCGGATTTGTCATACGCCCTAAAAATTTCCATCTCTTCTAGCCATTTTAGTTGGTGAATATGTGGTGTGGAGGCAATTATCCGTGCTGCATTGAAGTCCGCTACTATTTCGGGATCAGTGGCATAGGTGGAGAGTGAGGTTGTGTGCCTGTTATGATGTATATCCGAAATATGTTCTTTTAATCTAACCTCTAACGAGCGTTTAGTTGATCCCACGTATACCAGATCTCTGTTGAACCTGTTATCCCTTATAGGAATTTTATATACTCCTGATATCCTCTCCGTCCTGGATCCGTCTTTTTCATTACGTAGGATGTCAAACAAGGTGCTGCATCTTCTGTGTGCTATGTTAACATTTCGTTGTTTAGCAATGGTGTTGTACAGGGACTTCAATAGAGGGTTGAACTTAATGGGTATCCTCATATTTTCTATATTATTGCTTGTGTTTTGCATGTTGATTACAATGTTGGAAGAAGCCTGTGTTTGTTTGTGGCGCTCTGCGATCTTTTGTATAATATTTCGGTATCCGTGTGATCTGGCGATACTTTCCAAGGTTCAATATAACATGATAGATAAGATACACTCAAGAGTCAAACGCTTCGCCTCTACGAAGTTAGCTACCAAATTGAAATTGAAGAACATTATAATGGACGCACCGGATGCCCCAAAATTATTTGCTTTTGCTAAAACACATAAGGAAGGGAAACAGCTACGCCCAGTGGTGGATAGGGCCAAAGTGCCCACACGAAAGCTAGAGGAAGAGGTACACAACATTCTTACTCCACGCCTTCAGGGATACCAATTTTCCATCTCCAACACGTTGAAATTAATAGAACAACTCAAGATGGTGACGTCACCTCTCCATGTTATGCTACAATATTGGATTTTAGATCCTTATACCCGTCGATTGAACTTCCTCCATGCTTCTGCGCCCTAAGGGACTTTCGTTTTGAAAAATTAGGCTCCAATGAGCTACATCATCAGGCACTAGAATTGGCCCATTTAATTTGTTACAACTCGGTGTTTCAATTTAAAGGTAAGTTGTACACACAAACAAGAGGTGTTCCCATGGGTAGTTTGGTATCCGGGGATTTATGTGAACTAGTTATTAGACAATTGGAAAACAGGACATTGCCTACATTCCTCCACGACATTATACTATACAAAAGATATGTCGACGACATCATCATCCTATGGAGGACAACTCCCAACTTAGCCTGTTTTTTAGACGAAATGAATGACAACCCGTATGGACTGACATTAGAGATGAACAACACAGTAACACCAGAGTACATTTCCTGGATTTGGACATAAGATTTGATGATTCCATCATCCGCACATTGGTTTTTCGCAAACCTACTAATGTATCGGCATACATACCAGTAAGCTCATGTGATCCCTTCCAGTACAAAATGGCGGCTTTTAGGGCATTGGTTAAACAAGCTTACACACACTCTTCCACACAAAAAGCACTAACGGAGGAGTTAAAATACTTGGAAAGTATCGCCATATCACATGGGTACCGAAATATTATACAAAAGATCGCAGAGCGCCACAAACAAACACAGGCTTCTTCCAACATTGTAATCAACATGCAAAACACAAGCAATAATATAGAAAATATGAGGATACCCATTAAGTTCAACCCTCTATTGAAGTCCCTGTACAACACCATTGCTAAACAACGAAATGTTAACATAGCACACAGAAGATGCAGCACCTTGTTTGACATCCTACGTAATGAAAAAGACGGACCCAGGATGGAGAGGATATCAGGAGTATATAAAATTCCTATAAGGGATAACAGGTTCAACAGAGACCTGGTATAGTGGGATCAACTAAACGCTCGTTAGAGGTTAGATTAAAAGAACATATTTCGGATATACATCATAACAGGCACACAACCTCACTCTCCACCTATGCCACTGATCCCGAAATAGTAGCGGACTTCAATGCAGCACGGATAATTGCCTCCACACCACATATTCACCAACTAAAATGGCTAGAAGAGATGGAAATTTTTAGGGCGTATGACAAATCCGAGTGTATTAATTCAAGAGAAGAGATCAGCCTTTCCATGGCGTGGCAAAACCTACTCCATAAAGAGTGATAAGGAAATTATATTAAGCCTTAAAAATAAACGATATTAGGGAACACGAGAATATTAAATAATCTTTATATCTCAATAACATGTTTTGGATCGTTCTCTTAAATTTGAACATCGACTGTCGAAATAGAACAGTTTCAATCGTATCACGTGACGGATTAAGCGAATGGAACGATTCAAGTTTGGATTCATTCAAACTTCTTGAAAATCACTATTCGATCCAGCTGTTATCCTGATGAAGAACCCAGAAGGGGTTATGAAAACGTTTGATTTTTGAAAGAAAAAGTGATATTCATCGGTTACAGGTTCCGTAAGTCAGATTTATTGTATTAATCAATTATCACAATTATGCTCTTAGCTTTCACAAATATTTTAATGAGTTATGTAACTTACTAAATTTTCAAATATAACTAATGTACTGTATGGTTATAACTTGTTTTCAGTGTGAGCTAGTGTATTTTTATGTGCATACATACTCCACAGGCATGACATTCTGTTACTTACTCAAACTAACAATACTACTACTTAATTGTTCTACTAACAACAAGGAACTAGGAGATCTATTTTATAATCTAATAGTATATACATTTAATGAACTATTGAAAATAAATTTGTTAATATAAACAGTGAAGTAAAACGTTTATTATTAATAATTTTAATTAATTATAATCACTTCCAAATAATTTAAGACTTATTCTAAAACTAGTGGCTGTGATTAAAAACAATTAGAACTGGCAATTCATTTATTATGTATTTAAAAATTTACCACATCTTAATAATAATATAAATTTAACACTGAAAACAATTTGCCTTTTAAACAATCCACATAACATACAAAATAATTTAGGTTATTAGAAATGATAAATTTAATATTTTAAAATGCAATTTAAAAACTTCTTTAATATTAAAATCAAAAATTCTTCTGCATTACTAAAGTAATAGTAAAGCATTTGTTTTTTTCCAGATAATATATTAGTACTTGATCTATTACACAATTAAAATCCAGTTCTTGCTACTTTTTGTAGCACACCATATATATATATATTTTTAGTATTATAGATTTTGTATCTATTTAAATGATACATACTGCTGCTATCTCTGTAAGTTCCATTTATAATGGCCAATTCCATTAGCTGCCTCTTTTTTAATTCATCTTCCCCTTCAGTCTACAAATTCAGAATTTATATATTAATTTAGTAATTTGTAAGCATGCAATTTCATTTTAATATCATATCATATATATTATATTACTTTAAATTATATACTTAAAAGTCAAAAATCATAGTTTTCAAATATCAAACAAACAGCCAAATTTCTTTACTGGGCTATTAAAGCTAAATAATTACTAAGTAATTTGGTAAAAATGCAAATACTTCATACATATACATAATTATTGATATGTATAAAATAAATTCTTTGAATAATTTTTGGGAAAAAATTAATATTTACTTGTTAACTCACTTCTATAACAAGTACTTTAATGTAAGAGTTTAAAAACAAAATTATTATATATGGTGACTAAATATGTAATTAGCAATTTTCCTATTGAAAACAATAACTGATTAGATTATTAAAAATTATAACATCTTTAAAATTCAATTTATATCCTTATTGAACTGACTAATAAAAGTCTAGATAATTTAAAATGAAAGAGAAGGGAAAAATTTCAATTACAAAAACAAACAAAAAGGCAAGTTTTAGTTCATAAATTCAAATTGCTAATCTTTTAGGGAATATTTCTGGATTGAAAAATTTAATTTGCATATTACTATCAGATATTATCCACTATTATCTTAATATAATCAAATTTAGTGATACAGAAAGCTGTGCATTTTTCAATATATCGCAATGAAATATTTTAACAGATAAAAAAACTGTCCTTCAAAGATCAATAGTTCCAATCTGCTAGCAGAATTTTCTTCTTTACATTTTTGATGACAATGTATACTTCAATAAGTAAATTCTTAGTGCAGTTATTAGCTTTTATGTGAAGATTTCAATTATATTTGGACATATATCTTAGTAATCACAAAAAATTTACATAATTAAAATGAACTTACAACTGGTATAAGAAGTTTTTTAATTTCTTCAACAGCTCTCTGTAATTTCACAGCTGATCGATTTGCTGTATCTTCAACAGTGATTAAAACATGTAATTCGTCATTTAAATGTTCCCAGTTAGGTTTTCCTCTGTTTTGTTCTTCCTTTTACATAAAAAAAAGCATTTCTAAACAATTAGTAATTCATAAGTAAGTGTTTAAAAATTTATTCCTATTATATTATATAAAACTAAAAATACAATTACCATATGATTATATTTTACTATTACTTACAGATTACATTTCCAAATGCTGCATATAAAGCATAGAGAATTATTAGAAAGCAATAATAGATAAAATTGAAATTATGTATTTAAAAACTAAATTTAAAATTAAAAAATTATTAATTCCAGAACTCTTCTAGCTAAACATTCTTGCTAATTCTCTTTGTAGATTTGATATCTCGAGCACAGGGCCATCAAGAGGATTTTTTCCCAGGCCCAGAGAGAACTTAGTGCCTGAAACGGTTTAACCTCTATAAATTAATGTTATTTTTAGTAACAAAAATAAAACCTAAGACCACTTTTATTAATAAAATACGTAGCATGTTTCTTTTATCTGTTAAAAAATGGCCAGCTCTACCCCGAGCCTCATCCAAGGTTTAGACAGCCTGCTTAAACGTTAAATATATTCTTTACGGTATATTCTATGCTAAATGCATTCTAAATTTATTTAATATGCATATCTAAAATTTATCATCATTAATAGTAGTAATAAATTTGTTCTAAATGTGGCAGGTAATGCTTAAATATCTTCAAATTTATCATCAAAATATATCAAATATAGATTAGTTTACAACATAACAGAAAAAATGTGTTCATAGAGAGAAAGTGTAAAATTAAATTTTTTTTAGAAGCACAGCAATTTTTAAATCACAAGTTTTAACTTGTCATAATAACAATGTTGGCTCCTTGAAACAAACACTTTTGAACAAGAACTGGTCATTTTCAGCTTAAAATCTTGCATTTAACAGTTTAGAATAATGTAGTGTAGATTACACACACTAGAACAAAATTAAGTATTCAAAATTAACACACAATAGAATAGGATTTTTATATAATATTAGAAGAAATACAAAAGAATATATGAAATAAGTCAAAATTAAAAAATTAGCTTAAAATATGAAGAGAAAAGAAATTTTTGTACTAATTCAAGATCAATCAAATATAAATTTGATTGATAGCAAAATTTACCTGTCTTGTGCAGAAAGAATCATCAACAGTTCTCCAATTATATCCACCCATTGCCAAATTCATATGCATCCTTATATTAATAATATAATAAGGCTGATCCAAACAGATGTAAAACTGCTGTAAAATTCTTAAGATATCATCATACTATTCTTTAATTAACACTGATTTTTTTCCATATTTTTGTCCCTCTGTCAAGTAAGGCCCATATAGTGAAGGAGGAAGCACTGGTTTTTATCACTTTAGAAACAAAGTAATGTTCTTTAATTTTCCTGGGAGATTCATATTATATTGATTTCACAATTAGATCAATCTTCTTGCTTATTAATAATCTTATCACATACATATCAACTTCACCTAAATTATCTGTTCTAGCTTCATCTGAATGTAAGATCATACAATCTATCTAATCATGGAATAATTATAAAAAACAACACCTTTTTAATCATCCAGAAAAAATATTTAGTAATCAATAGGATGACTATCACGCCAAAATATTGTATAATAAAATAAAGACACTGAGTTCAGCGTTACATGCATACATTTTTTATCGCAAGCACTTTCAACGAACTTATAGTCATTTTATGCATTCTATTGTACATTGGATTATTTCGTTTAATTTTTCGGTAAATCTCTGTATTCACCCAAGGATGACAACTATAAGTTTGTCGAAAGTGCTTGCGATAAAAAACGTATGCATGTAATGCTGAATTCAGTGTCTTTATTTTATTAGAAAAATATTTAATAATGTAAAAAACTTGGTTTGCCGGATGATTAAAAAGGTGGTGTTTTTTATAATTATTCTAATTCCAGTATAGTTTATTATTGTTTTTAATCATGAAATTTAATAATATCCACTGGCATGCCTTTAAAGGTCTTGGTTATTGGCAAAAATGTTGCCAATATCCTATCAAATCTTTTACTACTAGTTTTTACTACATTGTATTTTAAGTTTTAACTAGATCATGATTATTATTTTTAGAGAAACCATGCTCATTAGCTATTTATCGGATTCCATTTAGTTCTCTCTCTCTATTGATATGTAATATTGAGCACAAGAAGACACAAACAAGCAGACTACAAGAAGCAGCAAATTTGTAATAAATCATATGTTTTCCAGTGTATGTATGATAGTATAAATGTCAGATCTTTGATATACCTTAGTACCATAAGCATTATTTAATTTGAAAATAATATATGTATAAATAATTTATAAATACACTGTTCTAAATTTAACCTAATACTTATTACCTTGTTCTTAATGTCATCTATAAAACCATTGGTATACTATGCATCATTTCACATTATACAAATATCAAACAATCATTAAGATGTATTTACAAGTTTTTTTTTATTTGTGCCTCAACCCACAACTATTTCAGTTGCAACACCTGTTTATGAGAAGCCCATTGCTATCACACAAAGACAAATATCTGATAAAACTGTCATCATTCCATCAGAAAGATTATGTACAATAATATCCAAGAACTCAAGTGTATGAGTAAACTTGCATTTTTGACATATTACATTATAAATAGAAGGTAATGTTGCATTAACTTCCACATATAATGTAATATGTCAATCTTAATATAATTAAATCTCCAATATAAACAGAAGGTAGTTAGTTAACATAGTTACATATTGTTAATACATTGATGTTTGTGGGAGTTATCCCAGTCAATGAATTTGTAACATTTATAGAGCAAGTAATAGTATATGGAATCCTATGTAAAACCTTTTTCAAATAATTACATATAGCTTATTTTCATATAAATAATAGGTGAAAATGTTTTGCTATAAATTGGTGTAAGTGGTCATCTTACTTTGAGTTATGACCATTCCAGGAAATCTTGGTACTACTGCTCTAAATGATACCTTGTATTATAACTCTTCTGGAAAATAGTTTGATCTAAAAACCTTGACCATCAACAAATCCATTGGATCTTTCGTGAAAATTTGAGATTTCATAAACCTTTCATTTTTCTTTTATTTCAGTTAAGATGAACTAGTTAAAGATACAGAAACCACACTTATTTGCACATAAACATCTATCTTATACTCTGATGTAATTTCTTCTCTTGTATAAATGCTAGTAAGATGCTATTATCTCCCTTGATTTTCTTTCCATATGAACATTTAAGTCTATTTTTAAAATATAAACAGGATTATACTAAATGACAATTAGTCAGAATTATGAAACAAATCAATGTTAAGAAATGATATGGTCATGCTTCAATAATAATTTTTAGAGCAATTTTATATCAGCATTATTATATTATTAATTAATATGCAGGATGCATATGAATTTGGCAATGGTTGGATATGGTTGGTGAACTCCAATTATATCTACACATTGCCAAATTCATATGCATCCTGCATATTAATAATATAATAAGGCTGATCCAAACAGATGAATAACAAAGTTTACCTAATTGGTTGTTCTTGAATTAGTACAACTTTTCTTACTTTTCATTTTTAGTTTTTTTTTAATTTCTTTTTATACTTCTTTTGTATTTCTTTTAATTTTATACAAAAATTTATTATAAATGTTCTAAATTTTAATTTTGAATTTGTTCCAATTTATATGTTCTATGCTTTGTTATTCTGCACTGTTAAATGCAAGATTTTAAGCTGAAGAGCTTAAAATGTTTGCAAGAAAAATGAATTTAAAATTTTTCATATTCTTTTATATATCATATTATATGATAATTTGTTAACTAGCATAGCTCTGTGCTGTAGGCTCAAATCTTACTTTTGTTTTTTTAAAAAGTTTCTCTAATGTATATTGAAACAGATTATTAGTACAACGTATTTTTTTCTATTTTTAACAAATAAAAATCAGAATTTTGTAATTACTATATAACACGTATTTACTATGAAATAAAATTTCAAAATTTTATTATTTCATAGCAAACAGTGCTACACGCATTTTTCATGACATTTATTTCTACTACATTTTAGTAGATCAGCAATGGATGTCAAGTATGTAGATAGATAGATAGTCCTTTCGTTGTCTAGTATGGAGGAATTTTCAATTGAACCATTCATAAGAACAAACTTCAATTTTTCCATATTGTAAAAAAATTTATTAATTGAAGAAAGAAAAAATATGTTAAATTGGTTATTTTATTAATAGAAAATTGTATTGAATCTAAAATGACCAATCTAGTAAATAAACATAATTGGACAACTGTTTCCAGGTGATGCAAGACCATAACAGATATCTTGTAAAATGTTGAGATTTGAAATTATTTAAATAATCTGATACCTCCAAACAAATTGCCAGATGACCTGACCTAAACCAATGTATTAGATAAGAAATGAAATTACTATGATAGGTAAAAGGTAAATCTAAAAAAAATTATCCCTAGCTGGAAAATATTTTGTGTAAGACTGGGAAAAAAAATTCATCAATAAAAAACTTTGACAGTTAATATAATAAATCAAACTAAAACCAAGAAACAATGGATAAATTATAATCCCTACACAGAATTAAATTTAAATCTTGAAAGACAATTTCTTGATTTCATTAAATATTAGGGAGGTTGCAACCGACATTTTCAATGCGAAAATGTGTACGTCAGACGTTCGGCGCCATCTTCCCGTAGGCCTAGAAGTTTGACAATGGCGTTTCAAACATCAATGGAATCATGCTCAACGTTCCAAACACCGTTGTCAAACTTCTAGGCCTACGGGAAGATGGCGCCGAGTGTCTGACATACACATTTTCGCATTGAAAATGTCAGCCGCAACCTCTCGAATGAATAATCTGAAAGATTCCTGGTTTAGGCATAAACTGAAATGACAATCAACTAAAATTTAGGAATTTTAATTACGAGAACTAAATTCAAATATTCAAAAATTTTAACATGATGATAAGAAGGAAAAATAATAAGTATTCTACTGCCACAATGATTTTTAAATACGAGCAACAATTGGAAAAACCCTGGTTGAAACAAGAAATTGGTAATATCATAACATACATATTGACAGAGATGCTTGATATTACACCTTGATTTGTTTTCATTACTTTACATAACATATAATAGAAAAAAAAATTAAATGAATTTTGCAGTTACTGAATGGTATTTAAAAAAATATTAGTTTTGATTAAAAATTTAATAAGTTTTAAAATTAATTTCAACTTACTTTCTTTTTATCTCTCATGGAACCTTTACCCCTCACCATTATTTTACATCCAGTTTCATGTTCTAGTTGTTTAGCTGTCATACCTCTCGGACCAAGTATTCGACCAACAAAATTGTACTGTGAAGGTTCAAAACAGTAATATGAATATTAAAGTATATTTTTATTATATGTGTATACTTTAAAGTTTTCAATGTGTGTATTATATCATCTATTATGATAAATCTTATTTTGATTAAATAAAATTAACTTAACTTAGAGCGAAACAAACTGCTGAATTATCGGGCTATAATATGACTATGTAATTAATTAAATACTAAATTTGTCTAGAGTTAGGCAGTAGCCCAATAATTCAGCTTTAACTATAAATTGGATTTGAGCTGATGATCATATATATAAAATTCATGTTTTACATATTATATACATATAGAGAAATACTTCTTGACATGGTCTATCTTCTAATGATATTTAAAGAACTAACAACATACAGATTTGTTAAACATATTCTGAACATAAATTTAATAACTCCAAATAATATACTTTGCTTCTCAAACACAAAATTCAAATTATAACTTTCTGGATTTATTTATTGTTAAAAATTAGAGTTAAGATTTGAAATTTTGTAACTGTATAGCAGCAGAAATGAAAATGCATTACTTATTAGTAAATACAAATTTATATTTTCATAAATATTTCATTTACATTGTTTGTTATTGTTTTTAAATTCTTAATGACACTTTAAGTCAAATTTTTATTATTCTTCTAAACCAGGGGTGGCCAACCTTTTGCATACCATGCGCCAATTTTTTGATAGACGAGTTCAGATGCGCAGTGGCGTACCGTGGGTGTTAGCCGCCCGGGGCGGAGAAAAGTTTCGGCCACCCTTTAATCAGGTATTTCAATTTAAAAGATCAAAATTCAGTTGTGTGAAAAAAAAATTAATAAAAAATGCGGTGGTGGTGTAGTTACCCGTACAAAATAGTCCCGTTTGACATTAGTGGCATACACGATTGCGAATGTATCGTGAATCGTAAAAAAAAAAAAAAAAAAAGGTCAACAGGTGTAGCAGTCCAACCGACTCGTGGACTGTCCGGACGGTAGCACTGTCATTTAGACGCCTATGCACTGATCGAAAATAAACATACATGCATACACTGTAATTTACTATGTGGAGAACACTCATTTTATCTGTAAAGTTGATTGCAACGAATTGTGCAACAAATGAACTTGCCAAGACAGACTATAAAAAATTAATTTTCTATGTAATATTCTTAATTGCAAAGAAGCCAAATCTGGCAATGTTGCTCAGAACTGACTAAAGCGCCACTTGTAATCGTCCAATGCGCCAAGTTTGGCGCATGCGCCACGGTTTGGCCACCCCTGTTCTAAACCTTAAGTTAATTACTGTTTAATTGAATCTAACTCTATTTTTGATGATTTTGTGTCTTACATTACCTTAGAAAAATCATTGAAGAAAATGAATGCTAAAAATAAGATCAGTTATTTAACTTTAAAACAAATGTAATAATTTTGTTAAAATGCATACATATAAAAAGGTCTATTTTAAGTCATAATTTATCTTAAAATTTTAAAATTACAAAAACAACAAATGTAATTAAAATTAACATCTACATTTGAATTATTTAAAAATTATGAAAAATAACAGTAAAAATACTTTAGTTTTCCATTTCAACCAACCTCTTTAATAATTAAACAAATATCTCATTTTAAATCAAAAACTGAATGAAATTAATTCTAGAATTAAAAATTCAATTATATTTAATTAGATTTTAAATCTGAGTTATATATCAACCCATACTGCAATTAATAATTTATTTAATACTTATTTTGTTTTCATTATTAAATAAAATCTAATAAGAATTAAATATAAAGTTTAAGTAGAAATGAAAGAAAGTGTTTTAATTCTACATAATTGTAGTAGCAGGTAGTATTAGTATTTGTGTAGTTTTTGCAACAGCCACTGTCACAAAAAACCAAACTTTTTTGGTCACTGGCATGTCTTGATATTCGTGAAATTGCTTTTTATTGATATTTTTCAAAATTTTATATGTTAAATCACAATAACTTTAATAAAATAATCCATTTTTTTTAATGTTTTAGTAACAGATTTATCGTATTTAAAATCTTTGCAAACTCTCCTTAAGAATAAAATTAAATTTTTTTTTATATTCAAATCCTTTTGCACTTAAAAATATTTATTTGTTTAAAAACTCCTGAAAGTCAAAAATTAAAATTTGTATTTTTCTGGTCTGCCATTTAATTATTTGCACATCATTATTTATTCAGTAGAATAAGTTAATTTTAGTTTGTTAAAATTTTAGTAACAAGCAAAATACTCACATCTGGGTGATCTTTAACAGGTACATAAACCTTTTCTGAAAGAGTGATGATAGGGCCATCTGGATCTGGAAGAATAAGAGGATCCTTTTTTGTTCCATTTATCTGGAATAATGAACTTCTGACCCTCCCTATTTCTGTAATAATAAAGTGCTGTTGTTTACCATTTATTAAAATAATCATGCATTATTAATCAAGCTGGTTAGAGTAATGTTAGTTTATTTATTATGCAAAAATTCAGTTAAATATCTTTTTGATCAAAATATATCCTTGTTTTCTAAATACATTAAGAAATTTTGCATTGTAAACTGTTTTAAAATTATTGAGTAATTTCTTGAAAATATTTACAACAACAATAAATTTAATTACTGTTTTATTGTCTAAATGAGCTATGTTTATATAAATATTCAAATGTTTTCAAATTATTGAAATTTCTAAATTATTATTGTTGGATATTTTAAATATACACGTTCAAGAAGTAAAAATAACATTAACTTATACTGAAACTAGAAAAATTAAACAAATTACCACCTTTTTAAATATTCCAGCAAATAATTTAATATCATAAGAACGTTTTCAATCGTATTTAACGATCTTCATCAGTTAAATGATAAAAGAAAAAAATAATACATACGCATGCACAGTTATTATTTTTTCGTAATTTTAATTTAAGTTCTATTTCTTTAATGTTCTTTTTACTTTATTATTTAACCGATGAAGATTGTTAAAGACGATCAAAAACGTTCTTACGATATTAAATTATTTGATGGAATATTTAAAAACGTGGCAATTTGTTTAAAAACAACAGAATTAAAAATATATAATTTTTTGATAAAAATAAAATTTTAAATACTCTCTTCATTACAATAGGCTTTGTTCTTCACATTTTAGAAAATATTTAAATATATAATATTCATTATTTTATTTCTTGCAGAAAAATTACTGTACCTGATACTTAAGAAAAATATGTATATTGGATTAATAAACTTACATTCCCTCACAAAATGTTTGTCTTTTCAGTATAATTTTGAATCTAACATGTTTATAATGTTACAGATTGCTTAAAGTTAAGCTTTAACTTTTTATAATGTATAAGATAAATTCAAAATACTTAATGATTGAAACAATGAACAAAAAAAATACCATAGGAACAATAAACAAAACAAATGGAGTCATTAAGCTTTGTTAATAGTATAAAGAGAGAAGTTGAAAAAAAGCTTGAATTAAAACAACAAATAAAAGCTAGTCTTTCAAGCTGTAAGATGTGATAAAGAAACCTTTGATTCTCTGAATAAAGCAAGAATGTATTTCCTATACAATTTAGTTGACAAATCAAAAAGGAGAAAATGAAGTAATACAAAATTTAAGAAGTGACAAGATATATTTTACATTTACTGTAATTGTATAAACAAATATAAAATTGCAACGTTTAACAAAGATAAAATACTTTGCTTCCGTTATTCATCCATCGTTTGCTCCATCTGACAGTCCACAATTTCACAAACACGGAGGCAACCTTTCTTTTGAGGTAACTGCCTCTGCAATAAAATGCAAATATAGTAAAAAATGTCCTCTAGTGTTATCACCATCTTCACATAAAATACGTGTTTAAGTAAATATAAAACATGGTTGATGGTATTACATTTAATAATTACCTAATTAAATGTAATACCGTTGGCCATGTTTTATATTTTGTATTTACTTAAAGATATATTTTATTTAAAAAACACCCCTACATTTTACTGAAGAATTGTATTTGTAAACTATTTGTTGACTGAAAGTTACTGGAAAGTGAAATCATTTTTTTTTACTAAATAGTTTGTCAAATTGAAAGTAGACTGAGTCCAAGTCAGAATAATATGTTGAAAATCATGTAAAAAGTAACTATTTTATTTACCAGCCAAAATTTAAATCTTTACACATCATAATTTAATCTATACTAATATAATAAAGAGGTAATGTTTGTATGTTTGTATGTATGTAAGTTTAGATGCAGCAGGTAATCTCCAAAACTACTCATCTGATTTCAAAAATTTTTTCACCAATATTTAGAATGGAACTTCAGGGTTGATATAGGCTGTATATTATTCCGTTAAACATGGGGGATGGACAGTTCTTTACGGTAAGCCTTACGGAGAAGGCTTACCGTAAAGAACTCTGCTTCTATTTATACTATTTTAAATGCGGTTTTTTGCATTTTTGATTGCATTTTAATAGAGTACGTCAACAGAATGTACACNATTCAGTGTCTTTATTTTATTAGAAAAATATTTAATAATGTAAAAAACTTGGTTTGCCGGATGATTAAAAAGGTGGTGTTTTTTATAATTATTCTAATTCCAGTATAGTTTATTATTGTTTTTAATCATGAAATTTAATAATATCCACTGGCATGCCTTTAAAGGTCTTGGTTATTGGCAAAAATGTTGCCAATATCCTATCAAATCTTTTACTACTAGTTTTTACTACATTGTATTTTAAGTTTTAACTAGATCATGATTATTATTTTTAGAGAAACCATGCTCATTAGCTATTTATCGGATTCCATTTAGTTCTCTCTCTCTATTGATATGTAATATTGAGCACAAGAAGACACAAACAAGCAGACTACAAGAAGCAGCAAATTTGTAATAAATCATATGTTTTCCAGTGTATGTATGATAGTATAAATGTCAGATCTTTGATATACCTTAGTACCATAAGCATTATTTAATTTGAAAATAATATATGTATAAATAATTTATAAATACACTGTTCTAAATTTAACCTAATACTTATTACCTTGTTCTTAATGTCATCTATAAAACCATTGGTATACTATGCATCATTTCACATTATACAAATATCAAACAATCATTAAGATGTATTTACAAGTTTTTTTTTATTTGTGCCTCAACCCACAACTATTTCAGTTGCAACACCTGTTTATGAGAAGCCCATTGCTATCACACAAAGACAAATATCTGATAAAACTGTCATCATTCCATCAGAAAGATTATGTACAATAATATCCAAGAACTCAAGTGTATGAGTAAACTTGCATTTTTGACATATTACATTATAAATAGAAGGTAATGTTGCATTAACTTCCACATATAATGTAATATGTCAATCTTAATATAATTAAATCTCCAATATAAACAGAAGGTAGTTAGTTAACATAGTTACATATTGTTAATACATTGATGTTTGTGGGAGTTATCCCAGTCAATGAATTTGTAACATTTATAGAGCAAGTAATAGTATATGGAATCCTATGTAAAACCTTTTTCAAATAATTACATATAGCTTATTTTCATATAAATAATAGGTGAAAATGTTTTGCTATAAATTGGTGTAAGTGGTCATCTTACTTTGAGTTATGACCATTCCAGGAAATCTTGGTACTACTGCTCTAAATGATACCTTGTATTATAACTCTTCTGGAAAATAGTTTGATCTAAAAACCTTGACCATCAACAAATCCATTGGATCTTTCGTGAAAATTTGAGATTTCATAAACCTTTCATTTTTCTTTTATTTCAGTTAAGATGAACTAGTTAAAGATACAGAAACCACACTTATTTGCACATAAACATCTATCTTATACTCTGATGTAATTTCTTCTCTTGTATAAATGCTAGTAAGATGCTATTATCTCCCTTGATTTTCTTTCCATATGAACATTTAAGTCTATTTTTAAAATATAAACAGGATTATACTAAATGACAATTAGTCAGAATTATGAAACAAATCAATGTTAAGAAATGATATGGTCATGCTTCAATAATAATTTTTAGAGCAATTTTATATCAGCATTATTATATTATTAATTAATATGCAGGATGCATATGAATTTGGCAATGGTTGGATATGGTTGGTGAACTCCAATTATATCTACACATTGCCAAATTCATATGCATCCTGCATATTAATAATATAATAAGGCTGATCCAAACAGATGAATAACAAAGTTTACCTAATTGGTTGTTCTTGAATTAGTACAACTTTTCTTACTTTTCATTTTTAGTTTTTTTTTAATTTCTTTTTATACTTCTTTTGTATTTCTTTTAATTTTATACAAAAATTTATTATAAATGTTCTAAATTTTAATTTTGAATTTGTTCCAATTTATATGTTCTATGCTTTGTTATTCTGCACTGTTAAATGCAAGATTTTAAGCTGAAGAGCTTAAAATGTTTGCAAGAAAAATGAATTTAAAATTTTTCATATTCTTTTATATATCATATTATATGATAATTTGTTAACTAGCATAGCTCTGTGCTGTAGGCTCAAATCTTACTTTTGTTTTTTTAAAAAGTTTCTCTAATGTATATTGAAACAGATTATTAGTACAACGTATTTTTTTCTATTTTTAACAAATAAAAATCAGAATTTTGTAATTACTATATAACACGTATTTACTATGAAATAAAATTTCAAAATTTTATTATTTCATAGCAAACAGTGCTACACGCATTTTTCATGACATTTATTTCTACTACATTTTAGTAGATCAGCAATGGATGTCAAGTATGTAGATAGATAGATAGTCCTTTCGTTGTCTAGTATGGAGGAATTTTCAATTGAACCATTCATAAGAACAAACTTCAATTTTTCCATATTGTAAAAAAATTTATTAATTGAAGAAAGAAAAAATATGTTAAATTGGTTATTTTATTAATAGAAAATTGTATTGAATCTAAAATGACCAATCTAGTAAATAAACATAATTGGACAACTGTTTCCAGGTGATGCAAGACCATAACAGATATCTTGTAAAATGTTGAGATTTGAAATTATTTAAATAATCTGATACCTCCAAACAAATTGCCAGATGACCTGACCTAAACCAATGTATTAGATAAGAAATGAAATTACTATGATAGGTAAAAGGTAAATCTAAAAAAAATTATCCCTAGCTGGAAAATATTTTGTGTAAGACTGGGAAAAAAAATTCATCAATAAAAAACTTTGACAGTTAATATAATAAATCAAACTAAAACCAAGAAACAATGGATAAATTATAATCCCTACACAGAATTAAATTTAAATCTTGAAAGACAATTTCTTGATTTCATTAAATATTAGGGAGGTTGCAACCGACATTTTCAATGCGAAAATGTGTACGTCAGACGTTCGGCGCCATCTTCCCGTA